TGGGATATCCTTTATAGGTAACTTGATGTTTTTCTCTTGCCTATCTTAGTATCTTGTCTTTGTCTGTGGTTTTGGTCAACCTGGCTATAATATGTCTTGGAGAAGATCTTCTTGGGTTGATTCTATTTGGGGTCCTTTGTATTTCTTCAGACTAGTGCCTCTCTAGGTTTGGAAAGTTTTCTTGCAGGATTTTAGGGAATAGATTATCAATGCCCCTATGAGTCTCTTCACCTTCTGGGATACCAGTTATCTAGATGTTTAGATGTCTGATGGTATCTAGTATTTCTCACATATTATTCTCATTTTGGGGGGCCATTTTCTCAGTCTTCAAGGTGGATTTTTCTAGGCCAGTAATTTTCTCTTCTCCGTCTGGGATTCTGTTTTCTGTATGATCTAGTCTGCTTTTAATACTTTCAAGAAAGATTTTGACTTCCTGTATCATAGCCTCCATCTCTAATAGTTCCATTTGATTCTTTTGTAAAGTGTGTAATTCCTCTTCTAGACCTTGCAAGAATTTCCTCACCTGGAACTTGTCAGCTCCTTTCTCCTTGCTCTTCTGCAGTTCATTGTCTCTCTTCTCTTCCATCTCTGTTAGCTTTGTCATTTTGAATGTTCTAAATTCTTTCTCAGACATTTCCATGATTTCCATTGAACTGTCTGTGGATGAAGAGGAGTTATTCTTTTCCCTTGGAGGAGAGGTATTTTCTTGCTTTCCCATATTTGTTATGGCCCTGCGGTGATTTCTAGTCATCTGATGGATGGTGTGTTTCTTCCTGATTCTTTTTTTTTTTTTCTTGAAGTTCAGTCTGAACGTTCAGGACCGAGTAGAAGGAGGGGATCTGGAATCTCTTTGCCTTTCTGTTGTGGTCGCTTTGTGCAGCAGATTCAGTAGATATGAGGAATACATTAACATTTGGATGTTTGGCTATAGTTCCCTTAGATCCATCTAGAAACACAGTAAATGAATATTGAGGAGCAGGGAGATGACATAAAAAGAAAAGAATAAAGAGAGAGAAACAACAACAGCGGGAAAAAATAAAAATTAAAAAATTTATTATTATTATTTTAAAGCACAAAATAGAAAACTGCACAGTGAGTTCTAGTTCTCAGGAGCCATGAGGAATCTTCTTCTGATGGCCTGCCTCTTGCTTCTCCTGCCTGGGTGGGAGGGGGAGAGGCGATTATTCATAAGACAAAAGGCAGGGCTGAAAGCAAGAGAATACTTTACCTTAAAAATTTTTAAAAAGGAAAAATTACCAAAAAATGAGAAGAAAGAAGCAGAGAGTGACAGAGACAGAGACACAGAGACAGAGATAGAAGACTAGAAGAGTTCCCTACCACTCAAGGTTGTGGGCTGGAGGCTGAATTATCAGTAGGAAATCTTCATTTCTCTTTAACCCTGAAATCACTAGTTCTCAGGAGCCAGGAGGAATCTCCTTTTTACTCCTGCGAAAGCATTCGGGGCTTTTTTTTGTTTTGGTTTGGTTTGGGTTTTGGTTGTTTTGTTTGTTTTGTTTGTTTGTTTGTTTGTGTTTGTTTGTTTGTTTTTTGAGAGGTTTTGCTATAGGGTGCATGCACTCGCCAGAAAGACAGAGAGAGACAGAGAGACAGAAAGTGAGAAATCACCCTCCAGGGGGTATGTATGGCCATGCTGCAATCCCTTCTCCATTCTCCTCTCGGAATCTTGGGCACGCACACACATGTGCCCGGTGTGAGTTTAAGCCATCGGGTCCAGGACTCGAACGGCAGACGACTACATGGGAGTCCAGTGACATAGCCATTACGCCATCTGCTAGTCCCAAAGCTTTCAGTCTTTTAAGGCTAAAGCTTGTGTTCTCACCACACCTTTCCCGGGAAAGGCAGAACAATGAATGGGTGAGTGTATGGGATTTAGAACCAAATTCCAAGGATTCCACTTCAAGCTCCAAGAATATGGGAATATAACTGAAGGAAGCGAGAGAAACTGAGACTGGCCTTTGTAGGGGCACCCTTGACAGTGGTTTAGGAGCAGAGAATTTGGACCATTTGGATGTCAATCGAAGTTCTACTGTTCACCACCTATGACATCCTGGAAAAATGTCTCTCTCTTTTTTTAGTTGCTAGAAGGCATGTGTGCTCAGTAGGGAGACAGCCAAAGGGACAGGGAGACAGAGAAATCACCTCCAAATGGGATGTGGTCATGCCGCGACCCTTTCTCCATCTCTCCATCCTGTGAGGATTTGGGACATGCTGGCACACGGCCCTGGTGTGTTTCCTAAGCCACCGGGGCTGGGACTTGAACCCTGATCAGTCATGTGGGCTCCAGCTTCCCTTAACCACCAGACTGGGGGAAATCTCGTAAATGTCCTCAGTGTCTGTTTTCTCATCTGTAAATGGGACGTTAGAGTTGTATCCGTCCAGGATTGCGTCAAGGACCAGGTGGTGCTGCTGGAGTGCTGAGAAAGTCTAAGGAAGGAACAACAATTATATTTGGGTGGCAGGGGTGCAGACAGCACGTAGGTAGAGCAGTGGCGTTGCGCAGCACCCGGGGCTCACGCCAGCAGGAAGCCATTGCCTCTCCCAGGGTAGAAGCTACAAAGAGACCCTAGAAGACTGTGGTGTATGGGCAGAGCTGCCCAGCAGGGCTGTGAGTGTCCATAGAAGCACACAACCGATCCCAGCCACAGTGGCACATGCTGCTAACGCACTACGCTCCATAGGCTGGGAGCACATGAGAGACCCGGGTTTGAGGCCCAGGCCAACCGAAAGCCCAGGCGCAGTGGTGTACACCTGTCACTCCTGCAACTTGAGAGGCTGAGGCAAGAGGACCATGAGCTTCAGGCTGGCCTGGATGACTCAGTGAAATCCTGTCCAAAACAGAGCTGGCAGTGCTGGTGGGGAGCTGGGTGATGGCGTGTGTTTGTGGTCCCAGCTGGGAGGCCAAGGTGGGAAGATTATGACACAGCAAGACCCTGTGTTTAAAAAGAAAAGAATCAGGACACTGCCGGCCTCTGGTGGCCCCTCCTGCCCTCTCATTCTGTCCTCTGGTGGCTGGGCAGGGAGAGAGCTGTGGGCCTGGTGGCCCCTCCTGCCCTCTCATTCTATCTTCTCCTGTGGTCCCATTGGCAGAAGCCAACCAGCAGCAATAAGAAGGGGGACCCCAACAATACAGGGTCACCCTCAGGGAAGCAGAGCAGAGCTGAGAAAGCTGGCTGCTGGGTCTTCAGGGCACCCCCTACCACAGTGACATGTGCTCACGGGTCGGGGAGGCATCAAGGTGGCAAGCCACGTTCACACTTGGGACAGTGGCTGGGAGTAGGTGCTCACTGACCGACCCTGCTATTCCCACTTTACCTGCCTCGTATCCTCGTTGTCACCTGCAGCCCTCGACCCGCCCTCTCACCCTGGGCTGCGTGGGAAGGTGGGTCACCTGGCGGGCAGCACCTCGCCTTGGGTCTCACCACTCCCTGCTGTCCCCTCTCCTCCCCGCCTTCTCCCAGGTGCCCTGCTCGCATCTTGCACCTGCTCTGCCTCCTCGGAGCTGCCCTCCTTGACGCGGCTGAACCCCCTGACCGAAGGAGCCAGTGCCCACCTGCCTGCTCCAGAAAGCCCGGATGGTGTCCTGGCCATTTCTTGGTTCCGAGGGCGGGAAGCCCAGCCAGCAGCCATGATCTTCTCCCCTGAGGGCCTCCCGGGACCTGCACACACCGGCCGGGAGACTCTGGGTGCCCAAGGTAGCCTGGACATCAGAAACGTGACCACCAAAGACTCCGGCTGCTACACCGCGATGCTGGAAACCCACGCGGGGCACAGGCGTGTGACACAGCTGATCCGTGTCCACAGTGAGTGGGGCCCCACAGTGGGAGGGGCCGCGTTCTCCACAGGCAGACCCACTGGACCCGGTAGGGCCCATCGGGACACAATCTGTGTCGGTCATCAGCCCCTCCATAACAAACCACCCCAACACTTAAAACAGCCGTTAACTTAGCTCACAGTTCTGCTGGGTGATGTCCAGGCACTGGCCGGCCACGACTGTCTCATTCATACCTATGGCAGTGGCCTGGCAGCGGGAGGGTGACCAGGTCATGTAGCCTGTCATCCTCCAGGAGGCTAGCCCAGGCTTGTTCTCTCCGCTGGGAAAGTGGAGCAAGTCTGGGGTCATCTGCGGTGGTGCAGCGGTAACAAACCCTCCATGATGCAGAGGTGATATGGGAAGGTCCCAGGTTCACATCCTGAGGTTTCTCTGTGCACACACGTGTGAGTTTAAACCACCAGGTCTGGGACTCGAACCGTAGTCGACTACATGGGAGTCCAGCGACATAGACATTACACCATCTGCTGGTCCCTAAATAGGCTCCACCTCCTAGCAGGTGGAGTTGCAAAGTGCTGTGGCCATTTTTCATAATCTACTGTGCCCTTCCCAGATATCCATGAACTGGGTGCTCATTCTCACTTGGCAAAGGCAGAGAAGGTTGCTGGGAGGAACCTTCATCTTCATCTATGTATTTATGAGCTACTCAGCTCTGGATTTGAACTTTCACACAAGAGCTAGACAGACAAAGCCCAGAAGGTAACCAAGGCCATCCTTCCTAGGAGGTGGTTGAGGGACTTTTTTAGCTCAGTCTTCTGTAACAGTGCCATAGATTGGGTGGCTTAAACAATAGAAATGTATTTCCTTACAGTTCCGGAAGCTGGTAGTCTGAGATCAAAGCGTTGGCAAGTTCGAGTTTTGTCTGAGGCCTCTCTGCTTGGCTTGTAGACGGCGGCCTTCTCGTCTGTCTTCACATGGCCTTGGCTCTGTGTGTACACACTCCAGGCGAATCTGTGTGTCCAAACGGCCTCTCTTTTTAGAGGACATCAGAGTGGATAAGGGCCCACCCTAACCGCTTTTTTATTTAATTCTCCTTTTTTCCCCCCAAAGAATTATTGATTTAATTTTATTTACTATTTTTTTATTTGACCAAAGAGACAGAAGGGAGAGAGAGAAAGTGAGAAAGCAAGCCACCAGGTCTGAGATTCAAACTGTGGTTGGCCATATGGGAATCCAGCACCTTAACTACCACAGCTTTTTTATTTAATCCTTCTTTTTTCCCCAAAGAATTATTGATTTAATTTTATTTACTATTTTTTTTAAATTTGACCAGAGAGACAGAAGAGAGAGAGAGAGGGAGAGAAAGTGAGAAAGCCAGCAACCAGGTCTGGGATTCAAACTGTGGTTGGCCATGTGGGAATTCAGCACCGTAAGCCCCGCCCATCTGCTGGCCTCACTTAGTCACCTCTTTAAAGGTCTATCTCACGGTCACGGTCTGAGGTACTAGAGGTTAGGGCTTCAAAATAATGAATTTGGAGGACTCCTTTCAGTCTGTAACATAGGCTACCTTAGTTAGGATTCTGATTCTGATGCTCTAACAAAGACCCAGTGTCTTAAACAAGATGGAAGTTGATTTCTCTATCACGAAAAGGTCCGGCGTAAACAATTTAGGGATATGATGGGTCCATGGCACCAGGATCCAGCCTCCTTCATCATTGTAGCAGCGTTGCCCTGCGCAAGGGATCCAAGATGGCTGCCATCACATCTGAATTCCGGGCAGCAAGAGAGAAGGAAAGGCCCCACACCACAGTGACAGAGATAACCCTGGCCTTGCCCGAGGGAGGCAGATAAAAATGGGGGTCAGTGGGCTGACCATGGGCCCAGGAAGGGCCTTGGACTTTCATTCAGCTGCACGTCTACTGGTGCTGATTGCTACGTGGGCCTTCTCAGTCCTGCTCAGCTCAGGGTCCCAGCCAGAGAGAGGTGGGAACCAAGATGTCAGAGCAGCCTGTGGGAGGCAGGTAGAGCATCCTAGAGCAGGGGGCATCTGAGCTGGGCCCTGTAGGATGAGTAGAAGTTTTCCTGAAGTGTTCCTGCAGAGGGGCCAGCCAGAGTAAGAATGAGAATCTAGAGTGAGGGGCACTTACTGAGCGTGCCCTGTGCACCAGACACCAGACAATCTCCCAGCAACCTGAGAAAGCGGATGTCCTCAGGACTAAGCCCACTGTACGGGTGGGGAAACTGAGGCTCAGAGAGTCTATGGCAGCGGCCTACGGTCATAGAGTGAGTGTCTTAGACCGTTACTGTGTTACTGAGAGAAATACTTGTGGCCGGGTAATTTATAAAGAAATAGAGGGTTTTTCTTTTTTTTTTTTGAGAGATTTTCACTGTAGGGCGCGTGCGCTCGCCAGACAGACAGAGACATAGAGACAGAAAGCGAGAAATCACCCCCCAGGGGGGATGGTCACGCCGCAATCCCTTCTCCTCCATTCTCCTCTCGAGATCTTGGGCACGCACGCACACGCGCCCGGTGTGAGTTTTAAGCCACCGGGTCCGGGACACGAACTGCGGTCGACTACGTGGGAGTCCAGCGACATAGCCATTACGCTAACTGCTGGTTCCCAAGAAATAGAGGGTTATTGACTCTCGGTTCTGGTGGCTGGAAAGTCCGAAGGCATAAACCTGGCGTCAGGTTGGCTACGGCACGGCCCACAGGAGCAGAGAGAGCTCCTGCCAGGTGCGGGCAGATCCGTCCTTTATAACCACCTGCGATTTGAAAGTTTATTCTTCCCAAGGCCTAGCTCCACCTTTGAGCTGTTTTCACTCATGGGCGCCCTTGCCAAATAGACACGTGGTCAGAGCACAGGCTCCAGATTCAGGACTCCCTGGGTTCGAATGATGGCTGCGCTCTCACCGTCTGTCTCGCATCCTTGCAAAAGTGTCTTCCCATCTTTGTGCTTCCGTTCCCTTGGCTGTGAGGTGGGGCCACAGCAGAGGCTACGTCACAGGGCGACAGTGAGAAGGAAGTGAGCTCGTTTCTCCCTAATGCCTACACCAGCACCAAGTTACCGGACCGTACTCTGTTAGTTTCAAGGGGCTTGACCTCTTCCAGCCTCTGTTTTCTCATCAAAGTGGGGATGACACTTTATTTACCTCATGGGATTACCGAGAAACAACCCCATGAGGTAGATAGTATTAAGATTTTTTTTTCCATTTTTTTTTTCTTTTTTGGAGAGGTTTTTGCTATAGGGTACGTGCACTCGCCAGAAAGACAGAGACAGAGAGACAGAAAGCGAGAAATCACCCCGTGGGGGGATGATCACGCTGCAATCCCTTCTCCTCCATTCTCCTCTCGGGATCTTGGGCATGCACATACATGCGCCCAGCATGAGTTTAAGCCACTGGGTCCGGGACTCAAACTGCAGTTGACTACATGGGAGTCCAGCGACACAGCCATTACACCAACTGCTGGTCCCAGTATTAAGATATTTTTACTTTCATGAAAAAAAAATGCATTTCACACTATGGCCCAGCACATCCCACAGCTAACCAGAAGACAGGTGTCGAATCGTTGCTGAGTAATGCAACCCGGCGTGTTCTACAGTGTGTCTTTTCACGTTCTAAATGCTGGTCACAACCTGCTAAATGACTTTGCCACCCACGTCTGGGTCTTACTGGCCGTGTAACAAGCCGTAGTTAACCTACGGGCTTGGAGTGGTGCTCGGCTCATAGTGAGAGCCCGATCCAGGTGACTGTTGCATTGGCCCTTGTTTCTTCATCTGGTGGGTTCTTTCTCCTCCTTCGATGCTTCGCTCAGGTGCCACCTCCTCCAGGAAGCTTTCCTGGAGCTCCCTGGTTATGCTGTTGTTCTTTTCCCTTATGACATTGCACTGAAATTGGAAATGAGCTCAGGGTGGAGGTTCCCAGCACACACCACGACACCACACTGCCCAAGTTCAAGTCCCAGATATACCCTCTCTGACCACGAGGCCCCTCCCTAAAAACCCACAGAGTTCAACCCCTTTCACCTGAAAAATGTGGGAAAAAACTGTGGACCACTTTTGTCACCTCCTCGCTAGACTCCAGGGTCCACTGCTGTGTCCCTAACGTCCGCTTCTCACACAGGAGCGAGCGCTCCTGCGCAGACTGAGCTGGATCACATGGCTCCTCGGCTCAGGGTGCTCCCGTGGCTCCCTGAATGGCAGGTGCCCGCCCTGGCCCGGAAGGCCCTGCACGACCTGCCTGCACTCCCCCTGACCTCTCCTCCTCTCCCTCGTCCCCTTCTCTCTGTGCATGTCTTGTCTCATGCCCACCTCAGGGCCTTTGCCTGGAACACGTTCTCCCAGGAATCCACGTGGCTCCTTCCTCGCCTCTGCTCAGCTGTCACTCCTCAAAGAAGCCCTCCTTGACTCACCTTACCTGAGGGGGTCGCTCCATGTGCCGCCCAGCCCACACCCTCTTCCCAGCACTTGCCACCAGCGCCGGCATCACTGTGTTTCGCTTTTTTTTAGAGTTTTTGTTTTTGTTTTTGTTTTTGTTTTTTGCTATATGGCGCATGCGCTCGCCAGAAAGACAGAGAGAGACAGAGACAGAAAGTGAGAAATCAGCCCCCAGGGGGGATGGCCACACCACAATTCTTTCTCCTCCATTCTCCTCTCGGGATCTTGGGCACGCACACACACGTGCCTGGCCTGAGTTTAAGCCACTGGGTCTAGGACTTGAACCGCGGTCGACTACATGGGAGTCCAGCGACATCGCCATTACGCTAACTGCTGGTCCCCAGCGCCACTGTATTTACTGGTCTGTCTGTGGACCACCTCCCCACTCAGTCGTCAGCTCCCTGAGGGCAGGGACTGAGTCTACTTTGTCACTGCTGAGCCCCCGTGTTCTAGGTTTGGCTCACCCACAGCAGATCCCAGAAGTGAGGAGTCGAGGCAGGTCCTTTGCTGGGAAGCTGCAGAGGGGGGAGTGAAGCTGAGGAAGGAGCGAGACAGGCTGTTTTCCAGCCAGTTGGCACTGTGACCATGCAAGCCGCCTCCCACTCAGGGCCTGGGTGTGGAGCAGCCTCTGCGTCATCCCAGCTGAGGGTGAGGGAGCTGGGGTATTTATACACCAACCCCTGGAGGGCCACACCGGGTGTGCTCGTGAACCAGTGCTGCCAGCTGCCACTGCCTCCCTGGGTGGTGGTCTCTGGAGGTTGGAGATCTGAGGGTGGGGCACCGGTTCTGAGCAGCACCAGGCACAGACCAGGCACCCTACCACAGGCGCTGGGGGTGAGTGAGTGAGTGCATGAGTGCCTCTGGGGTGGCGGGTGGTCCCCGCCACGTGTCCTCGCTTCCTGTTCACAGACAGCCCCAAGTCAGTACCGCTGATGACGTTCCCAGAAAACATCCAGGGCACCATCCAGAGTGACCTCAACTACTCGGTGATCCTGGAGTGGGTGACCACGATGAACCCCGAGCCTGTGCTGACCTGGACCCTCAACGGGAAGATCTGCGGGTCCGGAGAGAAGCTGTTCATCCGCCGGCTGTCCCGGGAGCAGCTGGGCACCTACGTGTGCACGGGCAGGAACAGCAAGGAGCTGGTGTCCTCAGAGCCCGTGACCGTCCTGCTGGCACGTGAGTCCCTCCCTCCACCCAAGACCTCTGCCCCCTCACGGGTCGGCAGCAGCCCTCGGGGGTCTATGGAACCACCACTGTGAACTGTCCCTCCTGAGACTGTATAGCCCAGATGCCACCCCGTTCTCCCATGCACCTGCGGGCTGTGGCTGGTTAGCCCGTCTGCAGCCGAGAGGCCGCGGCTCCGAGGTCAATGCTAATGAAAGCCCAAGAGCCAGACCCGATGACCTGGGTCCCACTCCAACCACCTGCTGGCTATGTGGCCATCTGAAGCCCCTCTGCCTGAGTCTGAGCACATGCCACCCTCCTGCCACCCCACATGCAGACCCTAATATGGGAGATGTCAAAAAGTTCATGAAAAATGGAATTAAAGTCTGTTTTGGTGTGAAACATTTGAAACTCGGGAGTAGCTTTTTCCTACTCCTCCTTTTCTGTCAAGTTTCTTTTCTTGGAAAGGTTTTTGCTATAGGGCGCGTGCGCTCGCCAGACAGACAGAGAGAGACAGAGAGATAGAAAGCGAGAAATCACCCCCCAGGGGGGATGGCCACACTGCAATCCCTTCTCCTCCATTCTCCTCTCGGGATCTTGGGCACGCACGCACATGCACCTGGCATGAGTTTAAGCCACCGGGTCCGGGACTCGAATCACGGTCGACTACATGGGAGTCCAGCAACATAGCCATTACGCTAACTGCTGGTCCTCTTTTCTGTGAAGTTTTTGAAGGACCCTGTGTGAGGCCTGGTTCGGAGTATGGCTTTGGAATTCGAATTCTGACCTCACTATTTACTGTCTGTGTGCTGAACCAGTACCTTAGCTGCTCTGTGCCTCGGTTTCCTCATCTATAAAATTGGGAAAATAACAGTGCTCCCCCTAAAGTGTAGCATTCAGTGGGAAGCGCAGGCAAATTGCTTGAAGTCACAGTGCCCGGCACGGTGAACCCTGGGGAGCATTCACCAGAGGTAACATGTCTCTGTTACAGTCAGCACTGGCATTGTTAATAATTTCATGACTATTACCATGTGCAGTAGTGACACGGAGCTCAGGGCAGCAAGAACAAGAACAGCAGGCTGTTGGTTTAAAGAAGGGGCACGGTAGCCAGTCGAACCTAGGTTCAATTCCTGCCCCTCACTCCTCCCTGTGCCTTCCTGGCTGGGTGACTTAGGGCAAGTGATGTCCTCTCTCTGAGTCTTGGTCTCCTCCTGTGAATAGTGGGGTGATCAATGGCCCTTTTTTACAGAGTTGTTATAAGGAACAATGGCAGTGCATGACTGAGGGTGGCGGAACACCTGCAGACAGCAGGGACATTAAATAGCAGCTCTTGTCACGAATGTTGTACATGCGTGTGTGTGTGTGTGTGTGTGTGTGTGTATTGACTTATTTTTTTGGCCAGGGCCTGTGTACTCACTGGAGAGAGACAAAGAG